TCACTCCCCCCTTCCCCACAAAGGATAGGTAGCATGCCAGTCATCAGTCACCCTGCGGGCAGAGCACGCACATTCATTTGCGTAGAATAACAGTAGGTACCATGATCAGGGACCAGGCCAAGAGTTATGGACCACCTCAGTAACCCGATGAAGGAGTTACCTCTATTATCCCCATTTTACAGATGCAGAGAGTGAGGTTAAATAACCCTCCCAAGGTCACACATTTGGAAATCATGGCACTAGGATTGCAATCCAGGCAGCATGAGTATTTTCTCGGTTGCTTATATTGACCGTGGGAAGCATGCTCTTGGCCATGTTCCCGAGTCTGTTGGGGAGTTGGCAAGTGACTTAGGAGAAGATAAGTTACACGCTGCTTACGGGATGAGTTCTGACCTAGGGAGCAACCTGGGCCACTCCCTGAATTCCTCGGTCCCATGTACTGTGATGGCCCAAACGGCCAGTTAGAGCTGGAGGGTGTTGGGGGCAGAAGCAACGTGGGACCATGAGGAGTGGGTTCCGAGGACCCCCGAGCAGGGCCTGACGGCGAGGGTGATGGCGCTGTGAGAGGGCCCGGGAGCTTGGTCACGGTTGGTCAAGCCCAGAAGCCCCTGACACCGGTGCGGGAGGCTGTCCTTTGGCCTTTCTTCTTGCCTTGAGGGAGAACGGAGGGCTTCTTCCTCCTCCTTCCCTTTGTCCCTGTGCACCCCATCTCTCTAAGAAAGCCCCGATAGAATCTTCTGCTTCAGTGCTGGTGGCCCCGCCCCCGCATCTGGTCACTGCCTTGGAGTTGGACGTCCTGTCCTTTGTTTGCAGCCCTGGGCCCTCCCCTCGCAGGCTTACCTGATGGCTGCGCCTGCGGACCCCTCACTGTCTCACCTCTGGTTGTCTGACCCATAGGAGGCCCCGGGCTGGAGTTGGGGGGCTGAAGGAGAGAGGAGTTGCCTCTCCGGGCCCTGCCTGTGTTGAGCTCAGTGGGTTCGGTGACTCCCTCACCCAGGCCCCCCACCTCCTCAGCAGAGCGCCCTACCCTCCCTGACGCTGTAGATGTTGGACTCCTCAGTCACGCTGCCTGGTGCACCAGGTTGGCTGGACTCTGATAGTCACACACCTGAACATGTTTCGGGTTAAATTGGCAAGTTTGTCCAGGCTCTGGCCCTCGCTTCACATCCCAGTCCAGTCGTCCCAACCCAGCAGGATCTGCCTCTCCTGCAGCTTGTTAAAAATGCCAGTTTCTGCCCTAACAGTTGGTTAGAGCAGCGGTCGCCAACCTTTCGGACCTCACGGTCCACCAGAGCATCGTCCCGATAGGCCACGGTGCTGGTTCACTCCCCAGTCAGGGCACATGCAAGAACCAACCAATGAGTGCACGAGTAAGTGGAAGGACAAATTAATTTCTCCCTCTTTCTCTCTCTCTCTCCCTAAATTTAAAAGTAAAAAAGTTTTAATGCAAGTTTCTACTTATCCCTGCTATGTGGAGTCCATGTGTGGTAATTTATTTCTTGAGGCTAAATTACATCTTCACTTATGGTTCTCTTACACTGCAAGTGCTTGCATTGAGTCAGAAACAGGGTGGGGGTGGGGGGTAGGGTGGGGCCCAACAACTTGCCCGTTGGTGATGTTGCTGCGAGCTCTGAGAACCTCAGCCCCTCTGTCCCGCCCGTCCATCCGCCCAGCTGCATGTGGGACACAGCACAGTTGCCTGTCTGTGCTCACGTCTCTTGCCTGTCATACTTTACATAAAGCAGAGCCACAGACTTGTTGCCTCTGCCTCCCGAGAGAGGCAGCTCTGGTGGTGCGCTTGGAGTCTGCGCTTCTCGGCGAAGTCACTTAAAAACAGCCGGCCTTGCCGAAACCGGTTTGGCTCAGTGGATAGAGCGTCGGCTTGCGGACTGAAAGGTCCCAGGTTCGTTTCCAGTCAAGGGCATGTACCTGGGTTGCGGGCACATCCCCAGTGGGAGGTGTGCAGGAGGCAGCTGATCGATGCTTCTCTCTCATCGATGTTTCTAACTTTCTATATCTCTCACTTCCTCTCTGTAAAAAAATCAATAAAATATATTAAAAAAAAAAAACAGCTGGCCAATCTATCGATCATTTGCTCAGTAGAAGTTTAATGGAGAAATAATCTGTTTAAAACAATCCGTCAAAAAGAACAGCTCTTTTACAAACAAGTGATGGCAGTGACAAGTCAAAACCCCAGGCTTGATGTCCTGTTCCATCAACCCACCCCTAGAAGAGGGAGGAGGTGGGTGAGAAGGAAAGACGGGACCATTTACATGTCAGCTGGAGGAATTACAAAAATACACTCTGATGTAGCGACTGGTTGTCATGAAACATGCTGTGGGTGGGGCAGGGGAGGAGGAACAGAAGACAGCCAGGCGGGGAGGCGCT